TTAAACAAATTAGAGATTAATTTGTTATATAACTAACAGAAGCAAAAAACGCTGTCTTGAGATCACAATATAAATGTTGCGATAATTTAATTACGAAAAACATTTAGACTTAGACTGAGTTAAGGGAATCGTCGAGTGTTTGGTTGTGTTTTTTCGACTACTCGTATGACAACTATTTTCGGCACTAATATAATATGTGTATGACTTTCATGTCTAATATATCGCAGTCTCAACCGTAAGGCCAGACATCAAACCTATATTTCTCGCCAAAATCCATACCATCGCTGATTGAATGGGAAAATACATATTTTCAGTAATATATCAATGCTTTCCGTTCATTACTAGCAAACGGAATTCATAAATGCCTTTTCAAATCAATTAATAACATCTAGTTTTAAAAACTCAATATTTGGCAAAAACTCAAACAAATTTACTGAGAATTTAAGTAAACAGTTCACCGCAAATATCATATTAAACACCTGATTGTGTGCTACATTTGTCTCAATTAATTAGAAATACATGTTTTAAATCATTCAATAGATTGTGTAAAATATTTGCTTAAATAAAGACAATTGAATAACTTTAAGGCAAAGAGCGAGTGATGGCTAAAACACACAACGAGTTTAAGTTTCACAGGAAAAGTGCTTAAAAATTAGGCCTATATTGCAAAATATGGGCCGAAGTGTGTGTACATAAAGTCATATATTACTTTAAGGCAAAGAGCGAGTGATGGCTAAAACACACAACGAGTTTAAGTTTCACAGGAAAAGTGCTTAAAAATTAGGCCTATATTGCAAAATATGGGCCGAAGTGTGTGTACATAAAGTCATATATACTATAGATATTGTATTGACTGGCATTTGAAGCTTAAATGGCAGTATAGTTGCCATACATTGGGTGTAAGTGAGTGTCGCTCTCAAGAATCCAGCCGTCGATAGTTATGTAACGTAAAGTGTATATGAAATGGCAATCAATCGCTGTGTAAATATACACAACCAGTTTGGGAAACAACAACTATTACTGCATTTTCTTTTACGGATAATTAGTAAATACCAGAGAAATAACACCAAAACACACGCAAAAAAACTTATGTAACTCTCGTTGGAGTTACAGAATTGGCTTATAATTCAATTGGTTTATCAAACACTGTACACATATACAGCAAATACTGCATTTTAAACATCAAATAAAAATATATTTGTTATAAAAAGTGATATTTCGTAGAGAAATATTAGTTGAAAATAATTTTTAAGTTCAAAAATCAATCAAAATTTGCGATTAAATGCTATATAACATAGAAATGAGTACAAAATTCCCACAGAATATTCTATAAAGTATCAGAATATGACAATTCTGTACTAAACAACACACGGAATCGGTGGCGGTCTCTATGGGCCAGTCCTGGCATACACTCAATCAAACCCACAAAATGTACACAAATAACGTCAACAATACATACAAAACTTGCGTTGACTTCAATACAAAAAAATAGTAAATAACTAGACGTTATTGACTGCCATATAATGCTTTTCAATCACAATTGATAGACAGGTGTGAAGTGATGGTCACCGAGAGATGAGCGCCACCACAACCGCCGCCGCAGAAACGGATCCGTTTCGGCGACCAATCGAGACACTGATCCGATGCGGCGCCCGATTGGGTGCCAACTCGGAGACCATATGCCAGTCGTGTCAGTTCTTGCATCGGTTCCGGCGCTACTTCGACCACAACCGCTACGACCTGTACCTCATGGCCGCCACCGCACTATATCTCGCGGCCAAAGTCACGGAAACGCATCTCAAGCTCCGGGATGTGATACAAGTGTTTTACCAAACGGTCCACAAGACTGCCGATGAGCTCAAAGACCTGAAGGTCTACCAGAGTCTGAAGGACTCGATCATCGATTGCGAGCTATTGTTGCTCCGGATGTTGCGCTTCAAAGTGGACACTCAGTTACCGCACCGCTATCTCAATGTATACCTCCAGACACTCAACGCGTGGATCAGCGACGAGAATATGTCCCGAAGACTGGACACCACCGCTTGGGCTCTGGTCAACGACTACACGTGTATCAGCGGCCGATCACTCGACTACCGGCCCCAACACATCGCTATCGCTGTTATAGAGTTGTCGCTCCGGTGTCTCAACTATAAGATCCCATACAATGAAGAGGCGCTCATCTCATGGCACGAGGCCTTCGATGATCGGCTCAAGAAGGACGACATCGAGGAAGTGGTTCAACAGATAACAAGCCTTTACACTCATGACAGCAGTGGCGGCGATGGCCAGAGCGGCAGCAGTGGTATCGGTGCCCCTCAACGGCACTCATTTGATACCCATTTCAATTACACTCCGCACGGGATCTACGACTACAGATCCCAAAAGTCTTCGCACTGAAGACACGTTAGACATTGTTTTTATATATACCGTAATAGTTATTATGAATTAATTGTTCAAATTCTGAATCAAATGTTCAATATTTTTCCCCATATTTTCCCAGTTTTTATACACACTATATGTCTATGAAATTGAAAAATAAAATCACAATCACTTACTTTGAGTTGTAATTAGTTTTGTTGTTGTCTTCAAACACTGATAAGTAGAGGCAGAAACTGGAGGCCAGGAATACCAGCGCCGGCACTGTTATAACACCTGTTGGGGTTGTAATTGGTTTGAATACAGCGTTAAATACGGCGTTCATTACAGTGGATATCAATTGGTTTGTGTATCAATACCTTCGTCCACATAAACGGTGGCAACGATTTGTATGACTTGAAACGAGACCAACAGAATTGCGGCACTAAATCAATGGCACAATTAATAACAGTTTTACACAAATGATAATATGCTGTAAACACTCTATGATTAATTAATTGGTGGTTCACTTTAAAAGTGTACACAATATCGAGAATAGTGTGTAAATAATAGCGGCAACTGATGAGGAAGAATGTCTTACTAAGTGAAGAGTAGTGTCTGTGCGCTGACGAGTGCGGATCGGATGACAAAAAAGGCCACAGAATAGGCGACTACAGTACCCGTCAGTACTGAGGCTTTGAGCAAAACGGCCCGTTTATGGCCGTCGGAGTCGTCGTCGGCCGCGCGTATGGCGTCGGCCAACCACTGGCCCAAAGCCATCACCAAACGGACCAATTGTCTCATTTCGATGAACACAACCAACGGCTCGCAGTTTGTCAATAAAAAGCCAACCGATTGGATGACAATCGCCGGTGTCTTGACGTACGGCTGGCCGAAGAGTACGGCCAATAGGACCAGATTGGCCACCGATTCAAACGGATGATAATCGGTCTGAAGGGAGGCACAGACAACAATGTGATAACAACAGGATACTAGTCACCGAAACGGATCAATAGTACCCGAAATAAGTGGCGTAAGAGTCGGCCGAAGAGATCGGTGGCCACGAAATACAGGCAAACGACGAGTGACTGCCAGACAACTGTCTCTTTGCCGGCGAAGGCGGCCACCAGTGGCCAGAAGAGGGCCATCACTACCGGCAGTGCCGACAACACTGAGTCACACGACATGAATGACGTAAAACACATCACTTTTGATGCTTTTAATAATTAAATTGCATTTAAATTGTGTTTTAAAAACACTTCAAAAGTCATATGTTTTCGTAATTGAAATGTTTTTTTTGGCACATTTGACAGTATTTATTAGCCAATCATCGATTAGATAACATCGGGATTTAGTTATACATTGTATGGGCCAGTATTTGATATAATGTAATACGAAAACATGAATTACTTGAGTAAAGAATCTAATATCTTACAAATACAACGTTATTCATAATAAAGGTTAAAGTTTTAATATAACAAAACGTATTGCCGTAGAAAAACATAAAGTTTTAAATATAGGGTTTGATTATTAGCGAAATTATCGTAACGTTATATCTGATAGATTTAAACGCATGCCATCTATGAATGCAATGTAAGCATAACTTTAAACCCAAACAAATATTTCAATTGTTTTTTATTTACTTTTTTGTTGAAAACATTTTGCAAATAATATTACAGAATATTCTGACGATTCTTGCGATAAATTTGTATACAATTAAGCGAAAAGTGTATTGAAATGATCGCTAATCACACGAACCGATGCCGTGTTGTGTGTGTTTGCCATTAGACTGAGTGTCCGGACGTGTATTACAAGCGATTGTTTCCATAGAAATCAGTGTAAAGTTTGTCACGAAATGCGATAAAAAGTGCAAACAATCAGTACTTATATATAAAGATAACCATTAGTTTAACACTAAATATAAATCACTGTTAAAACCAATTCATTTAAACACCAATTAATTCATTCATTTTAATTATCACTTGAATTGATTCCCAAAGTGTTGTCATCGATGGCCGACGAACTGATCCGGAAGACAGTGCTGTTGAGCTGCGGCTCATTTAACCCGATCACGAATATGCACTTAAGGATGTTTGAGTTGGCCCGAGACTACCTCACCCGAGACGCCCGACCCCGGCATCACGTGGTGGAGGGCATCGTATCGGTCACTCATGACGGCTATCGCTCGCCATCTAATAAAAGTCTGGCGCCGGCCGTCGACCGCAACCGTATGGCCGAACTGTCGCTCCAAGCGCTTGACGGCCGACCGCNGCCCGACCCCGGCATCACGTGGTGGAGGGCATCGTATCGGTCACTCATGACGGCTATCGCTCGCCATCTAATAAAAGTCTGGCGCCGGCCGTCGACCGCAACCGTATGGCCGAACTGTCGCTCCAAGCGCTTGACGGCCGACCGCATTGGGTTCGCGTCGACCCCTGGGAGAGCCAACAGCCGCGATGGCAGCGGACACTCACAGCGATGGCTCACTTTCGGGCTGAGGCTAAGCGCGAGGATCCCGACGTGAATGTGATGTTTCTGTGCGGCGCCGACCTCTTCGAGACATTCAATATACCCGACCTCTGGAAGGACGACGACATTCGCACCATTTGTGGTGATTTTGGATTAGTTGTCATCACTAGAGAGGGTTCCGATCCCTGGCGTACGCTTGAGAGCAGTCCGAAGGCAGAGATTTTGCGTCAATACAAGAGTAATATTGTGATCGTTGAGGAGAAGATCCCCAATTCGGTGAGTTCTTCGGCGGTGAGGGAAGCGCTGAAATGCGGTCGAAGTGTTAGGTATTTAATGCCCGACCCCGTCCTCCAGTATATTCAGGACAAACACTTGTATGAGTCCTGATGTGGTGTGTCTTCGCGGACACCGATTAACGCCATATATTTGATTATCTATTGAATGATTGATTAAACAGTTTTGATTTTTTTGCAATGTTTTTAATGTTTATATTTTGTTAATTGATTTTTAAACCAAAATGTTATGAGCTTTTATTTATCAGAAAATTCATTATAAATTTAATAAAATGCTATAAAATAAGTATAAATAACTTTTATTTAACGTTAAATCTATCATGTAATCTATTCAACTTTAGTATTAACGGTAATAGTAATAATTTATACACACATATAATTATAAAATGTAATTTTACATTACGGTAAGCTATATTTTGAAACTATTATTTGTATACTAAAGTGAATAAATAAATTAAATTAATTTAAATAAATAATCTATTTATGAGAAAAGTGGTAATTAATAAATTCATGTGAATATTAACACTTGAAATCAATTGTTGTGAACATTTCACCATCAACATTCGCCAATAGCTTAATTTAGTTTGTGTTACGCGATATAATTAATAAGTGTTAATCTAACTTATTGTTAATGTAAGCCATTGATAAACAGTAAGTATTAATTGTATTGTGTATTAATTAAAACAGTAATTCAATTGTTTTTTATTTTTAAAAATTTTACTCGAGATTTATTACAATACTATTTGATTTGATTTTAAGCCATAAATCCGTTTACTTTTGAGAAATTATATTAAAATCCATTGATTTTTATGTATTCATCGCTTCTAACCATACGTTTGGATAAAATGCTAATCCCTTTGGCTTTCGGTAAATGAATGAATCAACTGCTATATTAAATGACGACATGTTTTGTTTGTTAACACTTTTAGTTATGGTTTTCATTCAATTGGGAAATGGATTCAAGTTTTGCGATAAATTCAAAGAAAACAATTACAAGATATCTTACGGTTACAGACATATAGTGAATGCAAACGACGCGTTCAGACATTACATCTTCATTGGACACGACTTCTGGCGATTGAAACCAAACGACGTAATGGATGACAAACTCAAGACAGTGTCCATCGATGTGGAGAGCAGTGGACACAGCGATTGGTTTGGCGGCGAGTATTCAAAGGCTATTTGTCTGTTATATCTGCCAATCGATAACATGGATAAAAGACAGGAAGAGTACGGCATCAGTGGACTCATGAAGGTATGCATCCAGACATGAGGTCTGCATTTGTGAAGCAAATGATCGCATATTTGATTTGAAACCACAATAACAGTCGGGAAGTAAAGACATTGAATGGAGTGTTTTGGACGCAAACCTCAACATTAATCGCAAATATAAGCCATCGGCCAAATCGAGTTCTGACGACTCTATGACAGCGACTATGTCTTGGGTTATGAACTACGCGGACGCGCGCAAAAACTCCACACATCTGAGACATGTGTACTTCTGGGACGGATCTAAGGCACTGTCCCGTCATTTCAACGACTATAAGAAGCCCATAGACAAGAAGCCCTTTGTCGACGAACGCCATTATAAACTTTACGACCAAATCCTCGCCAATCGGAAAGCGTTTCCAGTGATCGCAGTCTTAGGCCATAGAGTTGTCGGACAAAACGATGACAACTCGTTGATTGTATTGTTTCAAAACAAATACGAGATTAAGTATTGTTATACTGATCTCAACAAATCCGAGGATCGGATTCCAGAAGTGGTCAGTCATTTACAAATCCAATTCATTTCACTTCTCATTATCGGGTAATTTGTGTTTTAATTCATATATGACTCGTGTGTTTAGTGCGAAGACAAGAATCTGAAGACATTGATTGACTGCACGTCGACTTCAAGTGCCACCGATTTGTCGTCGATTTTGATTATATTAATGATACTAATTGTGATCGTAATGGCTATCGTTGTGGTGATCGCTGTTGTCTACGATCGCTGCCGAAAGTCCAAAGGAGTTGACTGTATGAACGAAATTGAATGAAATTTAATTTATTTATTAATAATAAATCTATACTTTTATATAACTTTTAATATTTAGCCCTTTCTGTGGCGAGTTATGCGTCGGCAGTCAGTGTCGCCAAGAGATCTGGTATTTGATGAATAGTTTTCAAAAATAATACACAATTATTAATATAATAAATATATAAATTGTAAAATTTGTATTGATTTAGAACTCGTGAATATGGAAAAGAGTAAAAGTGTTGTCCAAAAGCCGTCACCTCAAAAGCCAAAGTCCTCTAAAATATGATAATCCCATCAATTTTCATCAATTTTTGTATTTTGACTTTTACTCGAATTTTTAGACAATATTATTTTATTTCTATTATTTGTTTCATTCATTTATAACAATTGAAATTTACATTATGTTTAGTTTGTTTTGTTATTTAAATTTTATAATAATTTTTGTTTTGTTATATGATTTTAATAATCTGTTTATTAGTATCTTTAAAATTTATTTTATTTATTGACTGTTTTGATACGTTTTGAGCAAATTATGTAATTTAGATATTAATTACTTGAAATATTAATAAACAATTATCACATAATACATACAAATTCTCTAATTTACAAATAATTGAATAAAAACCAAAATATATACAGAATTTCAATTTATAACTAAATAAAAGTTTAATGAATACGAATTTAAGAAAAACAATCATTAATTTTGTTTGTTTTATTGGTTAAATAATCAGTTTTGTTTAATCTAACTCATTGTTAATGCGAACCATTAATAAAGAGTAAGTATTAATTGTATTGTGTATTAATTAAAACAGTAATTTAATTGCTTTCTATTTTTAAAAATTTTACTCGAGATTTATTACAATACTATTTGATTTGATTTTAAGCCATAAATCAGTTTACTTTTGAAAATTTATATTAAAATCCATTGATTTCTTGTATTAATCGCTTCTAACCATAAACTAAACGTTTGGATAAAATGCTAAACACTTTGATTTTCGGTAAATAAATGAATCAATTGATAGATTAAATCACAATATTTTATATTATTTAATAGTTTTAGTTATGATTTTCATTCAATTGGGAAATGGAGTGAAATTTTGTGATAAATTCGTTGGAAATGATTACAAGATATCTTACGGTTACAGACATATGGTGTCAGAAGTGGACGCTTATCGACAATATGTAGTAATTGGACACGACTTCTGGCTATTGAAACACACGGACAGCGCGGACGATACACTGAAGAGGGTTGCCATCGATGTGGAGAGTAGTGGACACAGCGATTGGTTTGGAGCCGACTATTCAATGGCTATCTGTCTGTTGTTTAAGGGACAGGAAAGCTCTGAAGCAAAGGGAGATCACGGCATTACTGGACTCATGAAGGTATGACTTCTATGAGTTTCAGAAGCAAATGATTGATACATTAATTTGAAACCACACTAACAGACGGGCAGTAAAGACATCGATTGGGCTCTTCTTAACAAAAATCTTACAATTAACAAACGATTGAACAAAACGACTGTTCCCTACGATATGACAGCGACTATGGCTTGGGTTATGAACTACGAGAAGACTAAACCCAAGTATACACCCCTAAGACATGTGTTTCTATGGGACGGGTTTCAGACTACGGGCCGTTTCTTCGGTGACTACAAAAAGCCGGAGAACAGCGAAGACGGAGACACTCGGCATCAAACGCTTTACAACCAAATGCTTTCCAAACGCAAAGTGATTGCAGTCTTAGGCCAGAGAGCCATC